GCAGGAGTGAGCCCAGTTGCCCGCAGAGGTGACCTGCTTATTAATGCACATTTTATCGGCTTTTATCCCGTCCTCACCTCACTCCCCTCGCTGTATTTCCTGGGATCACCTCCCAAATAAGCTACCTACACCCAAGGCCTTTTCTCAGGACACGTGGCCACATCCCCAGGTCTTGGCCCTGCTGTTTTCCAGCTTGGCATGTCCCCACAGTACGTGGAGCAGAGGAAGCAGCGGGTGAGTGTCCTGTTCTACCATCTGGGCCACTGAGATGGCAGCCACATTGTTTCCCAGGAGGATGCTGTTTATGCATTTAGAACTGCGGCTCCCTCACGCCAGCAGCTCTCCATTGTGCCCACGGACCATCAGAGCGCTTTTGGTGGCTCATTAGGGAGGCTTCCCCCTGGGGACCCAGCAGACAGGCTGGAATGTGAGCATGGGTTCCCTGAGAGCCCGTCTGAGCAGACAGTGGGCAAGGCCTGTGGCTGCGGATACACACCGTGGCTGCTTCTTACGCCCTCCACAGAGGCTGTGCTGCCGCCCGAAGACCCAAGGAGAACCCCAGGTGGGTCCTGCTCCTGACTTCCTTTAACCTGGAACTGCTTTTCTTCACCCTTAAATGGTTTCATTGTGAATTGGAGACATTGCCAGAGTACCAGATGGGACGTGAATCTCTGGTCTTCCAAAAAGCCAGGCAGAGACCCAGGAGCGTGGGGTGGCCCCAGGCACAGGGCAGGTTCCTCATCCGCAAAGTGGCCATCCTTATCCTCCCACCCAGGAGCCTACAGTGCAGCTGGGTGGCTCCTCCTGCCCAGACCCCGTTCAGGCCACAGTCCCTGCGATCCAAGGTGCCACATGCGGTTCATGAAACCTCCCATGCGCTTGGCCTCAGGCTCTATGCACGGTCAGCCAAGCTGGCATTCAGGGTGAGGAGGCGTGTGCTTTCATCTGTGGACCTGTCCGGGGTGGCCACGGCACAGCCGCACATCCTGCTGATGGGTTAACACCTCTGAGAACCTGGGTGACACCCACCTAAACTTGACATCCCACCCACATGTCCGCAAATAGCACTCACAACTCAACCTCCCTCCCTCCCTGCCTGCCTCCTCGCTCCCCTGAACTCCAGACCTGCAGCCCCAGCTGCCTCCTAAGCACCTCCCGTTGTTCGTCCCCTAAGGTAGCACGAATCCAGCACCACCAAAACTCAGTGCATCCTTTTCCATCCCCCGTTCCATGTCCTCTGCTCAGAGCTGGGCACCACCATCCCAGGGCCTGCAACAGCCACAATCTCCCTGCTGCCCCCGAGGCCTCCCCCTTATTTCCGAGCCCTCCCAAGAGGGCCCAGAGCCTGGCAGAGGGATTGAATGAGGGCCTTGTGAGGTGGAAAGACCCAGAGCAAGGACGAGGTTACCCAGAAAGGTCCAGAGAGACAAGTTCAGGTCCAGTTGGGTGGACTGAAGTCCAAGCCCAGCTCTGCCCCTTGGCTGACGCGTGACTTTGGGCAGATGCAGTCCCCTCCCTGAACCTCAGGAATGATCCCCACCCAGCACCTGCCGCGTGAGGCCACGGGGAGATCCGTGGAGCCGGCACACTAAACAGCCCGCTCAATTGCGGGGACCCTTCCTGCTACCATCACAGCCCCTGAAAAACCTGAGGTTGCCCCGCTTAGCACCCCAGGTTTAATTTTACCAGCTCTTTTTTCCCTCTAAGGGACAGCCAGTCCAGGCTGCCCTCACCTGCCCAGGCCCCCTCCATCCTGGGGCCGGCTCCCTTCCAAGCACGAAGCTCAAACAGACGCTCTCAGTGGGTCCAAACCATCGCAGCCCTGTCAAAGGACTCCTGTGTGAGCCTGAAACAGGGCATTGATCAGCCTTGGCGAGGGCTGCCCAGGCGATCGTGGGTTCGCTTGGCTTGGCTGGCCATGCGACTTCCCTAAACCCAGCTATTTCCTGTCCCTCGGGTAGCCCCCTCCCAGCTGCCTGGCCACAGGACACAATCCCACTACAGAACCCCGCCTGTTCCTCGGCTCCAGGCCAGAGGTGGAAGTCGGCGAAGGCGGGAAGCACAGGAGAGTCACGCCGGCCAGTTCAGGGCCTCCTGGTCCTTGTGACACATGTAGCCACAGCCCTTCGGTCTCCTTGTGATAGGATGCAAAGCTGGGCCAATTTCTCTCCTCCCATGACCTCTGCTCCCAATCCACACTTGCTGGGGCTTCTCAGCGGGTCGTCTTCCTGTGGGTCTTTGCAAGAAGCAACAGCCCACACAGACTGGGGCTCCAGCCCCTCTAACAGCCTCCACTTGGAGTAGAAAAGAAAGGCTCTTGGTCTCATCTCTGATCACTGTGTGGCCTCAGGAAAATCACTTGATGTCTCTGAGCCTCTGCCTCAAGTGTGAACAGGAGCTCGCTTTCCATTTCTGTGAGTCACGCTGCACCGACTGCTTCTGGATCTGATACCAAGCAGGTAATATCCATGAAGAAATCTGCCATTTCCAAGAGAAGCTGACTCCACCAGAAGGTTGACCATGCCGTTCCAACTCAGCCCCGTCCCTGCCTCCCCACAGGATGACTTTCCCAAGCCTTTTTAGGGGGCCCTGCATTTGGGCTCTTCCTTCCTCAAACCCAAGCCTCATAACTCCTTGGCCCAAAATCCTTCAAAGATGCCTGTCTCAGGATTAGTCCATGTTCCTTGGCATGACATTCAAGGCTCTATGAGGTCTCTTTTGGTAGTGGTGAAAGATCCCAATTCAAACAGCCCTGGTCTCTTTATTAACTTTACTCTCAGGAAAGCCCTCAACCGCTTAACCATACCAGGGGAAAAAAGATAAGGGATGGAGAAAGAGAAAGAGACATTATTAAAGAATTGGAGTCCTGGATCCTGCCATACCTGAAGCCCAAAATCCCTGGATTTTTTATTTATATGAGAGCCAAGAAACACCGTGAACCACCTTTTTTATTTTTCATAATAAAGTTGGCTCATAAGGCTTCTGTTAGTTGCAACCATGTCATTCCTGTAAATTCCCTTCTTGGCTGAACTTAGCCAGGTGAGCTTGCAGCCAAGCAGCCCCACTGTGTGCAAACGCTCTTCCTGACCCAGGCCCCAACAGCTGGCTGTCCTCCTCTCCCTCCCCTCCCCACGTGCCGTCACACTGAGCCGCTGGCCCCAGCTCCTGTTCCCCACGCCACAGAGTCCTTGCGTGTCCTTCTACCTAGGCCTAGAGCACCCTTCCCACTCTGCTTCCTGCTGCCTTCTCATCCTTCAGGCCACTTGGTGACACCCTCCAAGAGGCCTTCTCTGGAACTCAAGCCAGAGGTCCCCCAGGCTTTATCGTGGCAGTCCTTTTGCGGATCTGTCCCTCCTACCGCAGACTGGGGGGAACTGGAGACGAGTCTGACCTGCTGAGGTCACCCCAGTGTCCAGAGCAGGACCGGGGCCCGGGGAGCAGAGCACATGCCCGATTTGGGAGACATCAGGGTGCTTCATCAAGGGCTGTGATGAATCAGAAACGGCACTGGGTCATGACCACCCGCACTCAGCATGGCCCATGGGAGGAGTTTCTGGACTGAACAACCAGGTAAGTGGCTGTGGGTGTGAGTGTTTATGTGGGGGTGGGGGTGGGGGTGGGGGATTGGGGTTTGTGCATAGGTGTGTTTGTAGATGTGTTTGTGGGGGGGGTGGGAGTGTGAGTGCGTGTGCGTAAATGTGAGTGCCTGTCGATTTGAGTGTGTGGGTGTGATGTGGGTGTGGGTGTGAGGGGGTGTTGGTGTGTATGTGCGTGTGTGGGTGTGGGGAGTATATGGGAGTGGGGTGTGAGGGGGTAGGGGATGGGGGTATGTGAGTGTGTGTGTATGTGAGTGTGTGTGGGTATGTGCGGGTGTTGACGTATATGTGCTTGTGTATGTGTATGTGTGTGTGAGGGTGGGGGATGTGGGGGGATGCAAATATGTGTGGATGTGTGCGTATGGGTGTGTGGGTGTAGATCTGTGGGGGGTGTGGGGGTGAGGATATGTATATGGCTGTGTATGTGGGTGTGAGGGTGTAGGTGTGTGGATGTGTGAGGGGGTGGAAGCGAGGGGTGGGGGCATGTAGGGGTGTGAGTGCAGGGGTGTGTATGTGGGTGTAGACGTGAGGGTGTGGACTGAGGTAAAAGGGTGGGTGCAGGTGAGTGTGTAGGGGCTGTGGGTGTGTATGTTGGTGGTTGTGGGTGTTGGCATGAGTGTGGGGATGGTATGTGGGTATGGGGGTGATGCGTGTGTGTGTTGGTGGTTGTGGGTGTTGGTGTGAGTGTGGGGATGGTATGTGGGTATGGGGGTGTTGTGTGTGTTGGTGGTTGTGGGTGTTGGCGTGAGTGTGAGGATGGTATGTGGGTATGGGGGTGATGCGTGTGTTGGTGGGTGTGGGTGTTGGGGGTGTGAGTGTGGGGATGGTATGTGGGTATGAGGGTGATGCGTGTGTGTGTTGGTGGGTGTGGGTGTTGGGGGTGTGAGTGTGGGGATGGTATGTGGGTATGGGGGTGTTGTTTGTGTGTGTTGGTGGCTGTGGGTGTTGGCGTGAGTGTGAGGATGGGATGTGGGTATGGGGGTGATGCGTGTGTTGGTGGGTGTGGGTGTTGGGGTGTGAGTGTGGGGATGGTATGTGGGTATGAGGGTGATGAGTGTGTGTGTTGGTGGGTGTGGTTGTTGGGGGCGTGAGTGTGGGGATGGTATGTGGGTATGGGGGTGTTGTGTGTGTGTTGGTGGCTGTGGGTGTTGGCGTGAGTGTGGGGATGGTATGTGGGTATGGGGTGATGCATATGTGTCTTGGTGGGTGTTGGGGGCATGAGCGTGGGGATGGTATGTGGCTATGAGGGTGATGCGTGTGTGTGTTGATGGGTGTGGGTGTTGGGGCGTGAGTGTGGGGATGGTATGTGGGTGTAGGGGATGGGTGAGTCCTGGGAGTGGTGGAGGTAGAAGGCAGGTCTCCACCCTCCCTACACTGTATTTCCAGAAGCACATGAGCCAGAGAGAAGTTTGTTGCTGCTTTATTGAAACTTCCTCCCTGTCGCACACAAAGCAATTACACAAGGGGGTGTTGCTGGGGAGCTCTTGCAGAGCCTTCTCCCTCTGTGCCCCGCCCCCCGCCCACAGACTCCAGAGACCCTGCCTCTGTGGTCTCCACCTCGGGTCAGCTCCCCCTGCCACACAGGGAAGCAGGCACGGGAGGCCCACTGGGGACAAACCTTCCCAGCTGCCACCACCGCCGAGACCCAAGTGGCAGGGTCTGTGCCCACAAGGGGGTTGCCTGCTTTGACCGAACTAACCTGTGGGTTGAGTTCAGTGAACGGATGTGCCTGGTTTCAGGGCTGAATTTCTGCTTGACCACAAGCCTCGGACAGAACTGACTCGCCTATGACTGAATCCAGTGAACGGACGGCCAGTAATGGCCTGGCCTGGAACGGACGGCAGCTCCTTACTGAAATGACTGCGACTGAGCTGACCCCTTCCATGGGATCCATTGCTCTGCAGCCACACTACCACAGAGTGACTGAATGGGCGAGCACTGGACTGTTAATGACAGCTCGTCAGCAGAAGAATTGTGCATTTGAAGGGACTGCTTTATGATTGAAACAACTGTTATTTCCCGGAGCTAACCTTGAATGACAGGTTGTCAACTGTTTAAAGGAATTTCATTTGAATTAATGATTATACAGCCACTCAGAGGTCCTACGTTGGCCAGAGGTGGCAGCCAGTTGATGGGTTCATTTGAATTAAATGGTTTGGAGGCTAACTTGATTTTTAAAATTGAATTTTATCACTATTCTATGTATTCTATTTATCACTGTTCTAAACGACTCATGCTTGGCTAATTGATTATCATTTAAGCAAGCTACTTGAAGAAATTGATTACTATATATTTATGTATGGGGGGGCGGCTAACTGATGATTACTTGATTAAATTGCTATTGAACTGGCAGCTATTTATAAATCAATGCAATAGACTGTTGTTTGACCAAATTGTTTTACCGAACTGACAAGTAGGTTTTTGATTTGTCAGTGGCTTGCCTGGACTGATCAAGTTGATAGTTACTTAACAAACTCAACAACTTTAGAGTGACCAATCATCTGAACAAGTGTCAGAGCCGATGGAAATAAACCAAGCATTGTTGGGCTGAATTTTTGAGAGACCAGAGGAATGATTCAGCCTATAGCGTTCACCCAATTGTGAGCAGCCCATAGGTCCTGCAGGAGGAGCAGGCCAGCAAGGGAGACACAAGCAGATTGTCCTGGAGTCAGCCAGGGAGTGGCGGGAGGGTCCACCCAGGCCACAGGGGCCACCAAAGCAAAGAAGCAGATTATGAGGCAGCTCCGCCCCTCCCAGCACTGGGGCTGGGGCCTGGCGAGGGTCACACCTCTGAGTATGGGGGTGGTGCTGGGCCCCCCTCTGGAGCCTTCGATGGCAAAGACAGGGCTTCCTCGTAGGACGGCAGGACCACCTGGGAGAGACAGAGAGATGAGGGCTGAGTATGGTCAAGAACGACCCACAATTCCAGCCTGGGACCATGGGACCCAAACTCCCACCTCTGGCAAGATGATGATGATGATGACTGACGGGTCTTTGATACCTGCTATTTGCTACACATTGCCTGCATGAGATAGGTACACTTCCCAGTAGTGGACACACTTGCCTGTTCTGCATGGAGACCCCCTTATTTCGAAAGCAGTGCACCATTTTCCTTGGGAAAACATTTACAGTCCATATACGTTCAGAAGAACTGGCCCCGTCCCTCAGATCCAGTAGGGTGGCCGGAGTTGGCCACTCGAATTAGAATTTTATCCCCCTGGCTATAGTCTTTGGTTTGAGCACAGGCATATGGCCCAAGTTGGTCCAATCAGACATACTCCTGGGACCTTCTCTTTCCGCTGGGATTACTGAGAGGATGGGATGTTAGCCTAGGGGTTGTGGCAGCCATTTTGCCACCACGAGGGATGGGCTTCCTGAAAATGAAGCCAACATCGAGGAAAGTAGAGTCAAGGGATAGAGAGGATGAGATCATGTCCTGATGTCAGGACTCAGCCAGGCCCAAGCCAGACCTACGTTTGACCGCTAAGTTCTGTGAGCTAGTAAATTCCTTCTGTTACTTAAGTCAGATTGAGTTGGGTTTCTGCCACTTGCAACCAGAAGTGTCTTAACTAATCCAATCTCAACCTTACAGGTGACGAAAGTAAATTACCGGAAATTTAAACCATCGCTTTCCAATAAGCAGCTTCCAAGCACACCCCATCCTCTTCTTGGAAAGCCTCTTCTTCTTTCTCAGCTGTCTCATATCCATTGACCCTCCAAGACCAATCAACTATCACCTCCTCCAGGAAGCCTTCCCTGATGCCTGAGAAGAACCCACGTCCCTGTGTTTATTGTCCCTGTGCTTCACACCAAGGTAGAGGTGGCATCTTAGTTTTCTCTGCACCCCCTGGAATAGATAGGAGACTAGCCAAGAGTGAGAAGCAGTAAATACTGAATAAATGAATGAGTGAGTGAGTGAATGAATAGAATCTTAAACTATCAGAACTGAAAGAGGTCACATTTCTTCTGATCCAACCCTCGTCTTACAAATAGAGAAACTGAGGCCCAGAGAAACTGAGGAAAGAGATTTGACCCAAATGGCCCAGGGAGTGAGTGGCAGGGCCAGGATCCACCTGCAGCCACACTCACCTTCCGGAGCATCTTGGAGCTGCTCCTCTCCTCGGCCGAGTTGAGGCACTTGATGAATCTGTAGCACCGCCACACACACTTGAACATGTAGACCTGGAAGAAGGCGCGGGTCAGGCTGTGCTTTGCTGAGCATCCTTCTGACTCTCCAGCAGGGCTGGGACAATGCCAGCCAGGAGCCACCACTCGCTCCAGAAGCCAGCATCCCACCGTTCCTGCTCAGACCTCTCCATCTGGTTAGGGTTCTTCACCAGCCAGTCCAGAACAGTCCAGGTACTGCCTTCTTCATTGACCCATAGACATCACAGAGCCAGGACATCTGGGGGGGCTTCTGGCCCACCCTCCAATTTCCCCAGCAATAGTCCCACAGTTCCTGCTTGACTGCCCACAGCAACTGGGAGCTCACTACTTCCCGAGACAGCCCTGCCCATCTTGAAACAGAGCTGGCGGTGGGACACTCTCTGTTCAGAACTGCTTCTGATACTTTGTTTTCTAAAGCAGATTACAAAACAGCCCATGCAGTATTGGTCCATGTTTATAAAGGACGAACAATTAGAATGTATCTGTCAGCTGATGCAAGTTGATGTAAGAACTGAGCAGAAGATTTCAGGGTGGGGCATAAAATCCCAAGGGGCAAGCTCAAGAAACAACAGAAAACCCCCATATCCCCCCTGAGCAGGAGGAGAGGGTCCTGTACTGGAAGGTCTTGTCTGATGGAGTCCCTAATGGGTGCATAGGTGGGGCAAGGAGGCATAGGGAGCCACTGAGTGACAAAGAATGAGGTATGAAGGCCAGCAAGACAGAATGAGGGTCAAAGAGGGAATCCCCTCATTCTGGAGGACAAAAAAACAGAAGTGGAGCTGGACACTGTGGCTCACACCTGTAATCCCAGCACTTTGGGAGGCCAAGGCAGGCAGATCACCTGAGATCGGGAGTTCAAGACCAGCCTGACCACCATGGAGAAACTCTTGTCTCTACTAAAAATATTTTAAAAATTAGCCAGGCATGGTGGCACATGCCTGTAATCCCAGCTACTTTGGAAGCGGAGGCAAGAGAATCACTTGAACCCAGGAGGCAGAGGTTGCGGTGAGCCGAGATCGCGCCATTGCACTCCAGCCTGGGCAACAAGAGCAAAACTCTGTCTCAAAAAAAGAAAAAAGAAGGGAAGCTGGAGGACGGAGCTGTGTGGTGGAGCCTGGGCAGGGGTCCTGCAGTAGAGAGTGTCATGGAAACCTGACACTGACTTCCCCCAGGAAGCCTCAGGGGCATTCTCACTGCACACTCACTAGCGAATTTGTGCTAGGTCAGTTCTTGGAGAAGATGTTAAAAGGGGCAATTGTCTGTTTTCGGGTGGCATTAGGTGACAACAGAGACTGCTCAGGGCCTCAGATGGAAGCAGCAGCTGGGGTCTGCAGATGCCAACCCACCAGCACAGAGAGGCTGGGAGGAAATGCACCAGCTGTCAGCAATGACGGTCTCTGGGTAGGGTATAGATGGCCGAGTGATTGCCTTGTCTCTACTTATCTGTAGTTTTTTGAGTTTTGGTTTTTGTTTTGGAGAGAGATTCTCACTCTGTCATCCAGGCTGGAGTGCAGTGGCACAATTATGGCCCACTGCAGCCTCAACCTCCCAGGCTCAAGCGATCCTCTCACCTCAGCCTCCCTACTAGCTGGGACTATAGGCACGCACCACCACATCCGACTAAATTTTTTTTTACATTTTGTAGGGACAGAATCTTGCTTTGTTGCCCAGGTTGGTTTTGAACCCCTAGCCTCAAGCAATCGAGAATTCCCCATGAGTGTTCTTCAGGTATTAAGAAACAGCAAGCATGTCCTCCTTGAGTCATCTATTTTCCATGCTGAATAGCACTCTGGTCTTTGCTGGGGTTTGCTGTGGGGAGGGGGGAGGGGCAGAGTTTGACTTCCTAAGGTGTCAAAGCATTGTCTTGTCTCTTCACTTTGCTGATTGCACTGCTATGAACACACTCAGTGCTTCACCATCACCCAGACCTGGGACCTGAAGCTGGACCCTATCCTCTGGGCCTGACCACCCCAGAGAAGAATGAGACCGTTCCCCTCCCTCCTTCTCATCACCAAACCTCTATTAACATGATCTCAGGTACATTTTGATGCCTGAATCACATACAACTGTAACACAGGCAAAGCAAGACTCATTATGCCCCTGAGGCCCAGAGAGAAGTGACTTGCTGAAGACCAGCCGCACAGCTAGTGACAGTGGGGCTGGGATTCAAGCCCAGGTCAGTCCACATCTAATTCCAGACAGCTGGAATTAGACACCTGAATGCAGGTGACCTTCACAGGTTCACATTCCCTGAATGGGCTGTCCCAGAGGATCCCAAGTCAGAGGAGCTGGCACGAGAAAGCAAGAGAAAGGAGCTAAAAGCAGGGGAGGAGGCACAGGGACACGTGTCCCTGCTTCTAACAGCTGGGCACAGGCAGGCCTGGGCCCAGCACAGCCTCACCACCCCTCCCAGAGCCACAGGGCAGTGGCCACTCACCTTGAAGATGAGGACAGTGATGAAGGTGATGGAAAAGATGATGGTCATCTTGATGAACTGGTCATGAGGCATACCCTCCTGGCTGGGGAGGTAATTCTGCAACAGATTTGGGAGCCACATCAACATCTCTGGCCCTAAGGAATTCTAACAGCACCCACACATCCAGGAATAACAATCCCACCCTCCACACACACAGGAGTGTAGTGTGGCACAGCCGTCACCTTGGTGAGCCGCCACAACAGCCTTAGGAAGTAGGTGCCACCCTCAGCCCCATCCCACTGACGGGCCAACCAAGAAAAGCGAAGGGGCTACTGCCTCTCAGATCTGCTTCCCAGGCGGGTGCACCTGCCCATCCCCAGCTGGCGGGTGTCGGCTGCTCACGGGCCACACGTATGCCCTTCTCTAGAAGGTCATCTTGGCTGATCAGGGCCACCTAATCCACTAATACCTGGGAGGTGACATCCCCTCCCCTAGGGGGAGCTTGAAACCAATGACTGATGCCGGGGAACTCGTCCTTGGTGAGACTGCCTCTGTGGTCCTGTGCAAATACTTCCACACATTGAGACTCCTCCCTTCTAAAGGTAGTGTTTCTTTCCTCTCCCCTTGAGTGTGGACTAGACTTAGCGACTCAGTTTTAACTAACAGAATGTGGCAGACGTGATGTAAAAGCCACCGCCTTTCCTCCTTGCTTCTCTCTCAGACCAGTCCCTCCGGGAAGCCAGCAGCCATGTCAGGAGGGCACTCAAGCAGCACTCCTACAGATCCACATGCTGAGGAATTAGGAAAAGGACGCACGCCCTGTGAGTGAGCCGTCGGGCCTGCAACCTTTAGATCTAATCAAGCCCTCAGTTGTCCACCGCCCCAGGTGACATCTTGGGTGCAACCCCACCAGAGTCCCTGAATCAGAAGAGCCCAGCTAAGCCACTCCCAAGCTCCTGATCCTCAGAAACTGTGTGAAATAATACATGCTTATTGCTTTCACACATGATGTTTAGGGATAATTCATTCGACAGCAATAAAACTTGATATTCCTTCTGCGTTGCAGTTCACATGCCAAGCCCCTCTCTGGGATCGCGCAGGCTGCTCCTACAGCCGCATCTTTGCTTGGCTTCCTCTTTTTCTCAAACCTGCCTTCCTCACTCCTTACAAGCTTCTTCCTGAGAGGGCTCCCTCAATAAATCGCCAGCACAAGAATCCCCTCACAACGCTCCACCTCCAGGGAATCCAGCCCAAACCACCGAGGCACAGAGAGGTGAAATAACTTGTTGGAGGCCATGCAGCCAGCAAATGAGCATGGACCCCTGCCCAAGACTCACCATGTGGTTCATGGACTTGAAGTTGAGATAGGTGGGCACTTCCATGTAGGAGCTGCAGAGGGTCAGGATGCTCAGGCAGAAGTCCAGCAGCTGCAGCGTCATCAGGGGGACCTTGGAGGGACCCTGTGGAGGACAAATACGCGGAGGAAGAATAAGGAGCAGCAGTTAAAGTCCCAGTTACTTGAGGAACCATCTCAGCTACAGACATCAGCGACCGTCGTCTCCTGTGCACAGAGGCGCGGACACACAGATGTTCACACCAAGGGTTAGTGGCAGACCCAGGACTAGAACCAGGGTCTCCAGACTCCCAGGCCAGGGCCATTCCACGATGTAGCCCCCTCAGTCTCTTCAAGGACATTTGGGGGAAATGTGAAAAGCAGCTTTTGGGAACCATGTCCCTGACTGGCAGCAGCACTCAGAGCACCCCACAGTGGGCACTCATCACTGGCATGAACCATCCTCTCCTCCTCTCTTCAACTTGATTCCAAAGAAGAAATAACACTGGGGATGGGGGTGGGTTGGGCGGAAAGCACATGTGCCCCTTCCTCAGGCGTCAATCCACTCCCAGCGGCACTGACGGAGTGCTGACCACGGACGGCACCCCCGATGCGCGTGTTCCTCATTCAACCCTCACGAGGCATGTGGATGAGATGTGATTACAGGTACATTCCACAGAGGAAGAAACTTGGGGCAGTGTGGAGGGGCTCAGAGACAGGGTCAGACACCAGCTAGGAAGAGGGTTCCTACCTTCCCCGCGCCTGAGCCCAGGGCCCGTGTCTGGCCCCCTCCCACCTCCCACGCCAGGCCTGGGCTCTGCTGGCCAGGTGGGAGGTGGGGGCTGAGTACTCACAGAGCGGCTTCGGGAGGCCAGCTTGAGGTAGGCGGGCAGCTCGATGTAGGAGCCCAGCAGGGTGAGCAGGCACAGGAGGTAGTCCATGATTTGCAGGGACATGAAGGGCAGCAGGTACTTCTCCCGGTTCTGGAAGGTAAGCCCAGCACTGGCAGCTATCCCTTCGTGCACCAACACTCCCCCACCCAGCCCGATCGCCCCGGGCAGCCTTTCCCACTCTCTCTCAAATCTTCCCTGCCCTCCTCAGTGGAGGTCACCTTCCTCTGAGTGACCATCTGGGGACAGGGAGTGGGTAAGACCCAGGCCCTAAATGAGAAGAGTCTGGGTGTCCCAGGAGACATAAGGGAACCATCCCCCTCAGTTGGGGCTCAATAGCAGGATTTGAGTCAATTTGCTCACAAGAACCCAGCAAGGAAGGGCTTTGTGCACTTTTACAAAGGCGAAGGGGTCAGAGAGGACTTGCTGGAGGTGGGGACACCGGGGCTAGATCAGGGAAGGAGGCTAGGGTGGAGCAGGAGGGAAGGGCGGGGCACTAGAGGCAGAAGGACCAGCTGAGTGAAGGCCCAGAGGCAGCAGACAGCTCCCCTGCCCCTGCACACAGTCGAGCCTTCCTCCACGGCCACTCCCAGGAGGGCTGAGTCACGGTAAGAGGCCCTGCCAGGATGAGGCTGAAGTCCCTCTCCTTCAACCGAAAACAAGGGACCACCGTGACCTGTATTCATTCCTGTGCACCCACAGCTGGGGACGAAAACAAACAAACCGCAGTTTCCTGGTGTCTCATGGGGTCATCTGAAATCACTCAGGAGGCAGCCAGGACAACCCCGGCTGATCTCAGAGTCTTCAGGGACCACCTGCTCCATTTCTCAGCTGAACCCTCTGAGTGTCTGCACAAGCACCCACAGCCACCCTGCACAATGCAAATGGCCATCCCAGGGAGCCTGGGTCCCGAGAGAGTGGGTGTTAGCAAGGGGGGTGGGCGGTGGCATTTTAGGCAGGGTAGACGCATTCCAAACCAGCACCAAATCACCTCCCCGCTCCTCCCGCCCGGCAAGTGCCAGGCCCCTGTCTGCACCGGAAGGACCCTGTTTCTGGATCCTTCTCCCATGGCTATGTGGTGAGGCCCTGGCTTCCTGCCTTCCTGGGGGGCCAAGGGACGGCGGCTTCCTCTTCTGCAGGTTTGAGCTGCAGCTTGTCTCAACTCTCCCACCAGATCTGCCTCGGGTCCAGGAGCCCCTCGTTGTCACACTAGACTGTCCCTGACGCTCTGAGGGCCCATCTTCCCCAAACAGATCAGGAGCTCTCTGGGGGCCTTCCAGGGCACGGGTCTGCCTCGGGGCGCCGGCGCCCGTCACCGCACCGACAGAGCTGCGGGCGTCCTACTTTCCCTGCGCTTCGGCTCCTCTCACCCGTTACAAACTCCAGTGCTCTCTCCCCTCCCTCACCCTCAAGACAACACTTCCTCTTTCACTCTCAAAATCCCTGCCTCCATGTGCCATTTAAAAGGATGGGGGTTGTCGGCTAGTTCTCAGCAAAGCATGGGTGACCTGCATAGCCCACCACAGGCAGCCCGTGGAGGCTCATGTTACCAGGAAACGGAGGCCACCAGCCCAGGGAATCTCAGGGAGATACATGGCTCTCCAAAAGGTAACTGTGACCATCTCCAGCGTGCAGCCTCCCACCCAGCACTGCCTCAGCGGGTGTGAATGACAGGGGGGTGGGTAGCGGGGCTCCTGAGCCCTCACCTTGACCACGCCGATCAGCAGGCTCAGGCTGATGATGAAGAGCATGGCGATGAGCAGGAAGCTGGAGATCAGGTCGGCTGAAAGGCAAGGACGGCAGTGAGGGGCTCGGGGTGCCCCAGGGACCCGGTCGGGCTCCCAGGACCACACTTGGGGAAGCACTGGTGTGAGGATGTGAGGATGCGCAGGAAAACCCAGGTCTGCCCTGACGCAGTCCTCAGTCTGGAGTGGGTCCAAGGACAAAAGCAGAACATCGCAGGTAGCGCAGGAGGGAGTGACAGAGGGGGCTGGGCTGGGGGTGCAGCCTGGGGTCCACTTCAGCCAGGGCGAGGCCGAGGAGGGCAACCTTGGGGAGCGGCCTGAGAGTGAGGAGTCGGCCTGAGACAGGGACAGGGTGGGTAAGGTCAGTGTTGCTGGAGCAAGGTGTGTGGGGAAGAACCGCAAGGAGATGCTGTCAGAGGGGTGGGCAGGGGCTGCATCCCATGGTGAGGAGTTTCCATTTTATTCTAGTGTCATGAGCAGCCCCTGACGGCTTTAGGCAGAACTATAGGCTGTCTACCAGCTGATGGAGGGCTGCAAAGCGCCGTTCCATAGGCTCTCACCACCAGCAGAAGTGGGTGGGGTCAGGTGAAACATCCCCATTTGCAGATGAAACTTGCCAGCGGTCATTCGTCGCCCACGGCGAGGTAGCAGGGCCCCCAACCCCAGCCTGGCTATCCCTGGCCAGGGCTCTCCCTGTCCTCCTCCCACCACCACCCCACTGGTGTTCCCCGCACCTACCGATCTTGAGGTAACCCATCTGGGAGAGCTTGCAGGACGCCTTGCCGTGGGCCACCTCCACCGAGTGCTCGATGAACAACAAGACGCTCATGATCTGGGGGCAGAGCGAAGCGTCAGTCAGCTGGGCCTGCACCATGCCCCCAACGGCCCCTCCCACCTTAGTGGCGTACAGCAGGGAAGCCAGTCGTGGGGATCCTGGAGCAGATGGCATGCCGGGTCAGTAGGGCATCCCAGACAAAAGAGTGGCCTTCGTACATACATAGCCCATGCTCAGAATCCTGGGTCTGCCTCTCTCCAGCTGTGTGACCCTGGCCAAGCTACCTGACTTGTGTGTGCCTCGGTTTTCCCATCTGCAAAATGGGGATAATGCTAGTAAGCTCCCTTAAGAGGCTACTGTGGGGAGTAGATGACACTGTCCCAAGAGGGCCCTTAGGTCTGGTTCTCAGTAAGAGTGGTAACTATTACTATTGAAGGTCAGAATCAAAGAGGTGGAGTGGGCCAGGCGCGGTGGCTCATGCCTGTAATCTCAGCACTTTGAGAGACTGAGGCAGGTGGATCACAAGGTCAGGAGTTCGAGACCAGCCTGGCCAACATGGTGAAACCTCCATCTCTACTAAAAATATAAAAATTAGCCGGCACAATGGTGAGCACCTGTAATCCCAGCTACTCGGGCGCTGAGGCAGGAGAATCACTTGAACCTGGGAGGCAGAAGTTGCAGTGAGCTGAGATCGTGCCACTGCACTCCAGCCTGGGCAACAGAGCAAGACTCTGTCTCCAAAAAAAAAAAAAATGTGAGGTAGCGGGTAGAAGCTGAAGGCCCCTCTGCTGCAGCCTTCTGTAATGATAGGCTCTGGGGGTCAGAGAGCATCCTAGAGCTTCAGCTTCCCGGAATCATCAACACAGGCCCAGGAGGGTCCTGGAGAGCATCTAACCCTGAATCCCCAACTCCCATGACCCCTCGGGGAATAATAACATCTTCCTCATAGGATTGTAGTGGGCCAGATGGGATAATTCACTCAAAGTACCTGGCAGACAGTAAGCGCTCAATCTGTGCTATTACAATTACCATTGCTCCCACTTGACTATAGGCTCCAGGCAGGGAAAGCCTGTGTGTCTCTCCGTTCACTTCCCTAGCTGTTGTATTTGCGGAATGAATGAATGAGTGAACAAATGAACCCCACACCCTCAGAGGACCCTTACTAAGAATGATGGGGAAGAGGCGAATCTGATAGGCCTGAGTGTTGGGTGGCCCTAGAAACAACTTAAGCCCAGCCACAAAGCTGTAGTTTGAAAGAACCTTAGAGGACAGCTTGTCCATGCCTCCCATCAACCAGTGCAGGAATGCTGTGTCATGCAGCCTCTACTTAAATGCTTCCAGCCACGGGGAACACACACCTTATGTGTGTTCATGACCTTGCAGCAAGCCCTCCATCCTTCCCTACGACAAACACGCAGTTCTCCAGGTACCCTCTGCCCACATAAAGAACAAGAAAACTGTCCCCTCCCTTCTAGTGGGTGCCCTATCTCTATTAATATAACCCTAAGTTTACATTGGCTTTCTAGGCAGCCCTGCACTGGGAACTTATGCTCAGCTGAGAGGCAGACAGCCACCACCATCTGTTTCCCCCTTGCTGACTGTGTGGTTTTTTGTTTTTTGGTTGTTTTTTTTTTTTAGCTCAGACACAGGTCTCAACTTGTCTTCCTGCCATATTACATCCTGTTTAGGGGCGTGGAAAATGACTGAACAGAAAAGTGATGAAGAGCTGGGCTCCAGGGTCAGATCAAGAGGGATTTGAATCCGGGTCACTGTGTGACCTTGGGCAAGTCACTTAACCTCTCTGAGTTTCCTCATCTGGAAAATTGCAATCTCTGGATTTGGTGAAGATTAAATTGCATTATATTTGCAAAGCACTGAGCTCAGGGACTGGCAGGGGTGCTCAGCAAAGAGAGCCTGCTTTTGGCTGGCACAAGCTTATGTGCTTGGGCAGTAGTGCCAGGAGCAGGGTGCGTGCTCTAACTGTCCCCTCTACCTGCTGGAGAGTGAGCCGGAAAGGCTTTGCCTCACCAGGAAAGTGGAGACCACCCAGAGCAGAAGGCAGGTGTGGTGAGGGCTGTGGCTGACACTCACAGGAAACAGCCCTGAGAGGGAAAAACTCCTTCCTCTGCCCCTAAAAGCCAAGCCACAGGCCCTGTCCTCTCAGTTTCATCTTGAATGAGAGACAGAGAAAGGGAGGCAGATGACAGCTCCGTCCAACACAGAACAGGGTGTGCTGTGAAGTGGTGAGCTCCCTGTTCCTGGGAGTATGTAAGCAGATCACAGGGGAGTTGCTGCAGGCTTAGAAAAGGACCATGAGCATCTATCTGCTGTGATATGAGAAGACTTGAAGTCCCAGTATTCCAGGATTATCGGAGGTCTGGAACGAAGCTTAGAATCCGAGCATCTCAATCTCCGCTTGCTAGGAACCTACATCTACTTGTTTTATAAGCTCCCTTTGCTTGTTCTATGAACTCAGAGAGGTTAAGTGGCTCACCCAAGGACACACGGCAAGTTGGGGACAGAGGCCAAGTCTCCAAGTGCTGTTCAGATGCCTTCCCATTCCCCTAACCCCCAAAATGCCTCAAAGCCCTGCTAGCCTGAACCCTGGAGAACTTGGCATTTTGATCGTGCCCTTATGTCAGTAAAACCTTTTGAACACATGCACCTGTTTTTTTTGTTTTTGTTTTTGTTTGTTTTTTTTTTTGAGACGGAGTTTCGCTCTTGTTACCCAGGCTGGAGTGCAATGGCGCGATCTCGGCTCACCGCAACCTCCGCCTCCTGGGTTCAGGCAATTCTCCTGCCTCAGCCTCCTGAGTAGCTGGAATCACAGGCACGTGCCACCATGCCCAGCTAATTTTTTGTATTTTTAGTAGAGACGGGATTTCACCACGTTGACCAGGATGGTCTCGATCTCTTGACCTCGTGATCCACCCGCCTCGGCCTCCCAAAGTGCTGGGATTACAGGCTTGAGCCACCGCGCCCGGCCTGTTTTTTTTTTTATTTCTAAATGGCATGCATGTGTTAGTGTCCTAGTTTATCATGAACATCATGAAACATCTACTAAAAAGTTTCCAGAAATTAAAATTATATGATTGAAAAATTTAGAAATTCTCACATTGTCATCCTGAGGCCCTGAGGTCACCTTTACCCAGCTGTAGAGACCTCTGCTCATCCCCAGGTACCCCAAAACTCTTCTGCTCTCCTCCAAGCCTCCCTCACTGCCCTGCGGCCCCTCCAACCACCCCAGGGGAAGAAGGGGACACTCGTACAGCCGAACTCCATTGTGGGTGATCGTCCCACTACCCAGCAAAGGGACTGTTGTTCTTAATGCTTTCGCTCTCATTTCACAGATGAAGAAAGTGTAGCCCTGAGAGGCCCAGGGCCTTACCCAAGGCCTCCTGGTCAGCTGCTCATGCGTAGGGCTAAGGTTCAACTCTTGGCCAATTCCCTCTGCTACCCAGCATCTCCTGGCCACCCAGCTCTGCCTGAGGCCTGACCCTTCCCCTCCGCGCCTCAGGGGACGCAGAGAGGCGCCCCCATCTCCTCTCCCTCTGCACTCCCCTCTCCCTCCCTTCGGCCTGAGTACCTGACGCCAGAGGTATTTCTACTTCTGTGAAAGCCACCTGCACCTAAAAGCCAGGCTCACCCTCACCCCATTTCACCTTCGCAACAACCCTGCGGAGGGGGATGGGGGAAGACTTTGTCCCCATTGCTGTGTGAGAGCCACGGGGCTCATAGAGGGCAGGGACCAGCCCACTGTCACAGAGCAAGGCAGCCTCAAAACCTGACTCAGACGCTCTGTGGGATCCCAGCCTTCCATGAAGATGCCAGTCTCTGACCCAGGAGACAGGGAGAAAGCTTGGCTCTGGGCATGCACGTGGCTCTCTAGGACATGGGTTGGAGAAAACTCACAATATATTTGGCACCTACTGTGTGCTCAGACCTGTATACATACAGGCATGCACTGCAATCTCCCAAATTTTTACAAAAGAGACATTTTCCCATTTTACAGATGAGGAAATGGAGGCTGAGAGGGAACTTGTGTGTCCTGTGTCACGTGGTCCAGCTGGGATGCGAACACTGTTGCCTCTCTCCTGGGGTCCAGGGCTCCCCACAAGGCTGGGCTGGCTGCCCTGGGGCTCCAGGATCTCTCTGGCCATCTGCCCACCCTTCCGTGGCAGCCAAGCCCCAGCCCCGGCCACTCAGAGCTCAGGAGACAACAGCTGGTGTTCAGGAGGCCTCTTCAACTGCCTGAGTGATATGTGGCCCTGGCCAGGCTCTGGCTTCTCCCTGGCCTCAGTTTCCACCTCTAGTCAATGAGAAGAGTCACCCTCATTTTCCCCTGGGGCCAGGCAGGAGGATCAGGAGGGCGGAGCTCCTACACACTATAGGATGTCTCACCCAGGCCACCCATGGTCCCCCACCCCAGCCACCCCAGGGCCCGCACCCTGCCCCTCAGAAGGCCCTCGCTGCCCCACCCACGTCCCTAACCAACAGCTGTCACTAGTTCCTGGAAAGTGCCTGGCTGACCTACAGAGTATGCCGAGACCTGGAGACCCAGAAAGTCGGCATTTCCAGCCCCTGCCTTCCCCTCATGCCCATTTCTACCTGGACACAGTGCTGTCTTCTCCCTGAGCTCTGAGAGCCCCGCTGGGCCGTGACCTTGGGACCTCAGCCATCCCGCAACAGGCACAGGCCTTCTGTCCTCCCACAATGCCCAGGCAGACAGCATGCCCTCACCCACCTGTTCCCCAATTACAGCGTCGTTTCACCCACTGTTCCTTCATTCTAGGCCAGTGAGATCATGAAGATAAGAGCTGAGTGCTGGAGTCAGACAGCCCAGGGCCCCCAGTGAGCTCTGCACCCTTGAGCCAGCCACTAACCTCTCTGGGCCCTGGCTCCTCATCTGAGGAATGGGGATAATCACTGACCAGCCTCACAGGATTGCTGAGGTCCATAGCATCGTGCTGTGCACAGAGCCGGGCACACAACAGGCGCACCATCACCAAGTACAGTTGGGTGGTGGCTGCTACCCGTGGGCAGTAACCACTCTCTGA